GCGCGTTGCTTGTGGTTGATTCCAAATCTATCTCCTCGCTCCTCGCTACGATCGACGACGACAATGCATCTACATCCCGGAATTGACCGAAAGACCATTACGTTGGCGACGGATTAATCGATCCATCAATGGACGTTGCGGTTGAGGGATTTGCCGCGAGTGGGCATTTTTATGGAGTTTTCGTGCAGCCATAGCCAAGAGCATTGATTGCATGGTCTGGAAAAGGTGGTGGAGGTGGTAATGGTGACCATCCACCGACCTCTGTCCCCTTCGCAAATTCACATGACCAGCGAGTCTTTGTTTCGTGAGCTGGGGGAAAAGGCATATGCGGTGGCATATTCACGGGTTTTGCCCTTCTGTTCTGTCAACCTTTAAAGGTTTCCTCGCCCGTCTCTTTCATTCCATGTATGCCCAGGGAGTTATTTTAGAGGCACCTCAGCTCCACAAAATGCCACCTTTGGGCATTTTACTTTTGTCATTGTGGGTTTTGGTATTTCTTGTTTGGTGTTGTGGCAAAAGGGAGCAATGAATCAGGCCATGCGAACGAAGAGCTGGCTGGCGGTGTGTCATGTTGTGGCTGCCATGGACACGAGTACAGGGTTTGGATTCTAGGGGTTTTTGTTCTTGGCGTGCGTCAACTTCGCAAACTTGGAAACGAGAACTTTGGAGGATTTGATATTTAATATGGGTTTGGATAGGCGACCTTTTCCTCTTTCTCCCGTTCTTTCTTTCTCGCTGTGAGCAATGCAGCTTCCCCGTGCCAATCTTTTACATCTGTGGACCTACATAGAAAAGATCATAGAAAAGAAGAGGATCACGTAACTGTTTGGTCGAGATCATCAGATTTGTTTGCAAACGAGTTTTTCAAATTGTGGGGACGCTCCTTGGTTAAACAGTTGCATGCGCTGTCCAGGATCTTGTGGAAAATTTGGCACGAACTTGTGAAGTGTCCCTAGTGATAACTTCCTTTCGTAAAAATTTGGATGTTTTCGCATCAGCTTTGAGACCATTGTCTCATTGGGTAGTTTGATTATAGTCATTGGATCTTATCATCACAGCAACGCAATTTTCTTATAGAAACTCGAGAGTTTGACACTCGAGAAGTCGGTTTGAAATAGAAGTTTGCGTCCAGCGCTGCTCGAGGTGAGTTTGGACACTTCAAATCTCTTCTCAAGGTCAAAACCAAGCCACTTGATCAGAGAGCAGCCCTGTGTGAACTCCTTGATGATAGAGCAAAGCCGAGGAGCATTTTTCTTCGTCAATTGCTTGACTTACAGTGCTCTTAAGTTCTCCGTTTGCATCGGCCAGAAACTAGTTTTTCCAAATCCCATCAATGTTATATAAGCAGGACTGTACAATGCAGATAGAACCTTTGTTTGCTTACGTGATCACACCTTCTTTGATTTCCCTGACCTGAATTTCGCAATCTCTGCGCCAACTTTGTTCCGAACATTCTTGTAAAACCCCGGGTAAGGCTCGTATCCAAACACATCATGAAGCACCTGAAAAAAACCTGCCATGCGTGAGCAAAGTCTGTAGGAAATAAGCTCCTCTCACCTAGAGCAAGACGAAGAATGGTGCCATGAGCAGCGCTTGGACGAGATTATCCAAAAGAGCCGGCGCTCGACGCTGGATTGTTTCGCAAAGATCGTTAGAAAACCAACCATCGCTATGGACGCAAAATAGCTCACCTCAAACACTCCATGGCCGATGAACTGCGCAGTCCAGCAAAAAATCTGGCCACCAGCAGCAACCTGGCCAAAGCAAAACCGAAAAAAAGTTGGATGATCGAAGTCCCAGCGAGAAGAAAAAAAATTTAAATCCAATCTCAAAGAAACAATGGATCAACCAGAGAAGAAAAAAAACATAGAGACCAGGAAATCGATCGAAAGAAGCAAAGAAGAAGAACTTACCTTCCATCCAAGAGAAAATCCCATTTTTTGAGCTGCCGCATTGGCCCCAATCCAACACGCCAGGCACATCGCGGCCGCCAGCGATCCAGCGCGCTTATCTAGCGCCGTGTAGAAGAGCGCGTAGAATCCAGCAAACAGGAAGCTGTAGTTGATCACCATAAAATCCTGGAGCGGCAGCGTCCTGGCGGGCAGCGGCAAGGGCATCAGCGGCTTCGGCGACGCCAGCGCCATTAGAAGGAGCGCCGTGAAGAGGATCGGCCACACAAACACGACGTGGATGCCGACATTGATCCTGTTGCTGTGATAGGCGCCATAGAAGGCGAAATGCTTCTCCAGATCGAGGATCCCTCTCGCCATCGCTAGAGTTTTAGGGCTCTTGCAGAGATTTATACCCAAACGCTATCTGGCCGTACACGTGGCAGAATTAGGGTTCTAGCTATGGCCATGCATTCTCTCGCTTCTCCGCGCTCGATCTTCAACGCCGCCACTCCGGCGCCGAGGCAGCGGAGCTGCGCGCCGGCTGTGCGATGCATCGCCACAGCGAGCGCGTCCAGGAGCTACAAGATTACTGTTCTTCCGGGCGATGGGATCGGGCCGGAGATTATGAGCGTAGCGCTGGATGTGATGCGATCCATCGGGTCACAGGAAGGTAATGCTGTGGCTTTTCTTGAGGAAATGTGGGCGCCAGCATTGTGGTTCCAGGTATCAGCTTCCATTTTACCACGAAGCTCGTTGGAGGCGCTGCGATCGACGCTGCTGGAACACCGCTCCCGGAAGAAACTCTTGTGGCGTGCAAGGATTCGGATGCAGTGCTCCTTGCGGCTATAGGCGGGTAAGAATGAGAAAATTTTCTCTCCTCTTTCATCCTTTCCAGCCATAACGTTTTGCTATCTCTTGGGAGATTTGCAGGTATAAATGGGATAACAACGAGCCACATTTGAGGCCCGAGCGTGGACTTCTGGGACTCCGTGCTGGTCTCGGAGTTTTTGCCAATCTTCGGCCAGCTACTGTGTTCTCACAGGTAAAATCGCTGTTGATGGGATTCTTCTCTCACGATTCTTTGCAACTTTTGTGTCAAGTTGGTCGAAAGCTCCACTTTAAAACGCGAAGTAGCGGAGGGAGTGGATGTCATGGTTGTTCGAGAACTAACTGGCGGTAGAGCTCTTTCTTTCTTTCCTTTATATTCTTTGTTGCACTTACCTTCTACTTTGGATCGCGGCCAGGGATCTATTTTGGTGAGCCTAAAGGATTCGGCACCAACAAAAATGGCGATAGAACTGGCTTTAATACGGAAGTGTATTCGGCAACCGAGGTTCGTCTGTGAGTTTTGTTCTTCTGATGAGCTTGTTTTTTATAGATTGATCGCATAGCTCGCGTTGGTTTTGAGACTGCCCGTAAGAGAACTGGGAAGCTCTGCTCGGTCGACAAGGCTAACGTGCTGGAGGTAAACTTTCATGTTATTTGCCATGCGTAGCTCACTGGTGCATTTGGTGTAGGCGTCACAATTTTGGCGAGAGCGTGTCATAGAGATCGCGAAGGAGTATCCCGATGTGGAGCTCTCTCACATGTACGTCGACAATGCTGCAATGCAGCTTATTAGAAACCCGAAGCAGGTAATGCTCAAAGTTCTAGTTTTCAAGTCCTATGATCTTAATTGTTTTCATTTGCAGTTCGATACGATTGTGACAAACAACATATTTGGTGACATTCTTTCTGATGAAGCGTCTATGCTAACGGGTAGTATAGGCATGCTTCCATCAGCCAGCATTGGCCAATCGGTTTGTTTCCAAAAATTTAAGACTTCCTTATGTTAAGACAGAATTAAGTTTGTTGCAGGGGCCGGGTCTCTTTGAGCCAGTTCATGGATCAGCTCCAGATATTGCTGGCCAGGTACTTTCTCTCATTTTGCTAGAATTTCCAATTTACTTTCTCGCAGAACAAGGCCAATCCTTTAGCGCAAATTCTCAGCGTTGCCATGCTTCTCAAGTACGGCCTGGGCGAGAAAAAGGCCGCGGAACGCATTGAAGCAGCAGTCTTAGCAACACTGGACAGGGGGTTCCGAACGGGGGACATCGTGTCCGAGGGAAAGGTACGTCCTTCGTTGATCAAGCAAAACTCCTTATCATCTTTTCCTTCTCCTGCGTACACAGACACTCGTCGGATGCAAGCAAATGGGGGAGGAAGTTATGCGGGCACTGCAAGCGCCTGTAGCCGCCGGGCTATAGCCAAGAGTTCCAAATTTTGAGAGACTGGTAGCTATGATTCAGGTTTTGATTCTCAGGCAGGTATGATAAAACTCAAACTTCGTACTTATTTTTGTTATGGATGATCCACAAACAAGACAGCGAAAAGAATATCGAAGTGCTCACGCGGAGTAGTCGATATCGATGACTCCTGCGATTCTTCCGAATGCCTTCTGGGTATCAAAAGCTCCTGGACAGCAGCCATTACCAATACATTTGGTGGAGTAGAAGTGTCCACATGCGGCTTTAATGTTATAGATCCCTGGCGATGCCGCTGCAAACATAAAATCTGATGGAAGATCGCCGTTCTCGTAGCAGGCCTATTGCGAGACGAAAGAGAGAGGTCATCATCCTACTGGTATAGTGAAAAGTTCCAGTTATCTTCTTACACTCTTTCTGTTTGTGGTGCATAGCTGCGCTAAGAATTCCCAGGCTTGGCTCGAGGACTGCCATGAACACTACGGTGGCAATGGCAAGAGCAGCGAAGGCTTTGGCAGTAGAAGCCATCATGGAGGAAATGCAAATGCGACATGGAACTTGTCGAGAAACGCGTGCGTACGCATTGCGTATTTATACTCGACCAAGAAGCGCTAGACTACAGTAAAAATTCTCTTTCCAAAGAGACCGCAATGGTGCCATTTTTTTCTCTTGAAGCCTCTGAACTCCACGTCCCAGACTTTGCCATGCAAGCTCGCTACGTACCACGCCATTAAAGCCTGGTAAAGATTTCAAAGCTCTCACAATTGTGTATGGGTAAGAAGGCTGGAATCGAGAAAGAAATAACAAGATGTCAATCTTCTTGATAAATCCTTTTATTGTGATCATGGATCATTGTAGTTCTTCTTTAGGGCAGCGATAGTGCTTTGGAGCATATCTAGCATGCGTTGTAGTTGACACTGATAACTCCAACAGCTGGGTCTGCAATACGTGCAAATGCCTCTTGGGAGAGATCAAAGGCGCCTGGACAGCCCGGGCAAAGATCCACGATCTGCACTCGGATGGTGTCGCCATTCCTGCAGCCATTTCCAGTGCATCTCACGCAGAAAAAGGTCCCGCAAGCTGCGCCATTGTTGTAGACTGCCGGAGACGCCGCTGCGAACAGAAAATCTGCTGGGAGAGGATTAAACCCAAAGCAAGCCGACGCTGCACGAGAAGTTGATCGAGATTTTCACGAATGAGAGTTTAGAACTGCAAAGATCTTACGCTGGTATGGAGGTGTATAGAACGTAGCCCTGCTGGAAATTCCCTGGGCCATGCTTGGCACCACGAGTGCCAGGAGAAGTGCGGAGGCAATGACTAGAGCAGCAAATCCTTTGCTAGAAGCCATGATTCGTGTAGCAAGAGTGAGAATGCTTGTATTGAAAACTCAGACTTTATACTCAAGAGATCGCTGGGACGGGAATGCAAAGAGTGTTCTACTTTGAAGTTTCACAGCGGAGTTCCTGGACCACCAAAAACGACTCTGGGTGATTGACGTGGGATTTTCAACACGACTCATCTCAGTTTTCCTCACGGCTCATCTCAGTTTTCCTCAAGATCAGTTGTCCCGTTTTCTCGTTCTAGAGGCGTGTTCAAGTTTACGTAGAAAAGAGTTTTGCCGTTCTCTGAGTCACGAGCCATACGAAAGAAAGTCTATCCAATTCTAGACGATGAAGAGTTTGGGTGGCGAAGTTTCTTACATCTCCAAGGTGCCACGAGCCCTATGACTATCGAAGTCTATCCAATTGAATACGACGTGAAAGGCTCTTTTATAATCCATATGACACATATTCATAAGTTCTAGCGTTTAGTTTTTCAACGCTTCTTTCCAGAGAAATACGTACTTATTTGCAAACCCCCTTTTTTATCCAAATGCTTAGCACCTACGATAAGTAAGAGAGATTATAACATCACCAACATAGATTTCGATGTTGATGACACTGGCATCTGGGTTTGCAATTCTTGCAAATGCCTGCTGGGAGAGATCAAAGGCACCCGGGCAGCCCGGGCAAAGATCCACGATCTTCACGCGGATAACATTGCTGTTCCTGCAGCCATTGCTCGTGCATTTCACGCAGTAGTAGTGTCCGCAAGCGGCTCCATTGCTGTAAATAGATGGAGCCGCTGCTGCAAAGCTATAATCTGATGGAAGAGAACCATAGCCATAGCAAGTTGGTGTTGGTGGATCAGAGAAAAACATTTTTAGGTGTCACTGTGCATGATGAATTCGTGAAAGCTTAAGTTCTTACGCTTGTATTGGTTGTAGAAAGTGGCTTTGCTTGCGATTCCTAGGCTTGGCTCCGCAAATGCCAAGAGCAGCGTGGTGGCAATGAAGAAAGCAGCAAAGGGGCTTTGGTAGAAGCCATGGATGTGGATAATCGCGAAGTAGTGTTCGATGTTGAAAATAATCGTGAACGGGAAGATAATCGTCATGTGATGAAAGTTAAATTCTGCAATTCAAGGAAAGAGCTTATTTCAAAGCCCTAAAATTCTTGGCAAACGTTGAATACTTCATAATGAATTGAAAGTACATTGTATTCCAGGAGGGACACTCTAGTCATGGATTTATGGAACGAGTGTTCAAGAGACTGTTGATGTTGAAGCTTATCGTGAACGAGTGCTTGATGATGAAGATAATCCTCATGTGATTATATTATAGTTGAGGAATGAAAGTTCAAAACGATATCAAATTCTGGGATGCCAGAATAATTCAAGACTAAAACTTTGAAAGCCGTAAAATTCCATGTAACCTGTAAATTCATCAACACCAAACTTCAATAATGCGAGCAGAACCATTAGATTAAAAATAAATAAGCTGTAATTAAATGTAGTTATTAACTTTGTACAAAGATTTGTATGTATCTTGGCTCACATCGAAGCTCACTTCCACTTTCTTTCCACCACTCTTCTCGACCAAGGCCTTGTAGCTTCCAGTGTGAAACTTCCCTTCCTTGTCTGTGGAACCAGAGAGCTCCGTCTGCCACAGCCTCTTCCCAGCTTCATTCACAATGGCCATCCTGCCAGAATCCCCACAGCACCACTCCCTCCACTTCTGGATGAGCAAACGCTTCGCGCAGCACAGCCTCCAAGTCGTCCACTCGGACGTGCTCGTTGCTCGAAGACACGTCCAACAAGCCGCAAAGAATCACCCCCACGGGAATGTAGACATGGCCTTGGACGCAGATACCACTGACTGGAGCACCTTGTGTTGAGTATATACACTGTCTATGACATGAGCTTAAATAGCAGTAGTGCCACCTCACTGATCCAGGTGTAGGCTAGAGGTGTGTTTCTTGATCATGTCTATCTTTGTCCATTGTAACTTCTGCGTATCTCGTCATGGTATCAGAGTTGTAAGTTCTTGAGTAGGAAACAGAGTCCTGTCGTGGATATGAGAGAGTGATTGGATGTAGAGGGGATTCATGTCATTGAGATTAAGAGGGTATATGCTTTCTATGACATGGATCTTGATCATGTATATTTAGCTATGACAATATATTCAAGCTACATCATAGCTTCCACATATCTCTTCACCTTGCATGATCGAACTCTCAATTTTCTGGACGTGTTTCTGAGCTGAGGAGCTCATCTTCAACGTGGTAGTCATTGACGAAGAGCCAGACCGGTAGATCCAGAGCTTGAACATGTTGGCGTGAACCTCGTCACCCAGCCTGCTCTTGTAGAAATCCCTGTCCTTGTTCACGTTGTAGAACTGAAAGCAGAGCTCTCTGTACCACCTGATCACGTTCTAGAGGTTGCTCTAAGCCTGTCACCCTGGGAGCTTTTACGGACTCTTCCAAGATTCGGTCAGACTTTGGAGAACTTTGCCCACTCAGCAGAAGCATCTCCTCTTCTCCTCATAGTGTTAGCAGCATCTCCGACAGTTTTCAACAATCTCAGAGCTTGCAGGACCTTCTTCTGCTTGAGATGCACTGGAAACGGCTGCAGGGATGGGAACATCATCCGGGTGCAGATCGTGGATGTTTGGCCGTGCTGTCCAGGAGCCTTTGATCTCTCCCAAGAGGCATTTGCACGAATTGCAAACCCAGATGTTGGAGTTATCAGCCTCATCTACAACGGATGCTAAATGTCTCTGATATCCTTCTGATATCTCACTCGCACGTGCTTCCATGATCATACACAATAAAAGGATTTATCAAGAGGATTGGTGAATCAAAGGATCTCATTCTTGGCTGATCGATTCTAGCTTCCCTTCCCATATATTATTGCGAGAGCTTTGAAATGACCACAAATACGGATGTGGTATGTAACACTGTCATAAACATGCATGGCAAAGTCTGGTTGACGGTTTTGACAGTATGCAAATTTCCCTTGTTTTAAACCAATGCTTCTAAAATAATGGTTTTGAATTTCATATATTTCTTATGAACTTTTAAATTTTGCAAGAAAGCCTTTTAAATTTCTCAATGTAATTTGCACTTTCCCTTATCATATTGACATCGCTGTGGATTGTTGATCAACTTGCTTGACCAGCTGTCTCCTTGTGCCGCATCTTAGGGCTTGACTCTTAATCCAGGCCCGGGCCTCCATGACACTGAGTTGTCACCCTCAGCAAAGAATGCTCTTAGGGTGATTCTCTATCCAGAATTTCCAAGACGATGGCAATTCCCTTGCCACACCACACACCCAGCCTGAGCATGCAGGGACTTCCCGTCTGTAGATGTTAGTCCACTAGTGATGAGCAAAGCCAAGGTCCATAACTTTCTGTGATTGTGTGGGATTCAGCAATTAAGAACTCCCTGATTTGATGGCCACGCAACAGTGTCCTCTCAAGCGAGGCCAATTGTTTCTCTACAGCTCAACTATGGAGTCACATATGGGAACTCCTTCTGGTACACACACAGCATGTGACTTTGAGGTACTGTCTATGAAGCCATCATCATCTTACCCATTCAAAACCACTTACAAAGAGCTTTGCAAGCTCATTGAATTATGCCCCTTGAAGTTTTAATAAGAACTTCAAGAGGAAAGGAAGATCTCCATGCTTTCACGCTCACCTATAGTGTTTGTGATTGTGATGGAATGTCTATTGCCATTGTTCACATAGATTGTTAGTCCAAACAATTTGGAGAATGGCAATTCTTAATGCCTACCAGGTTTTCAACCAGATGGAGAAGTGTGTCTAACCTTGCTTCTTAGCCAGACGCTATTAGGCTGCTCTAAAATCTGCCACGTGGAACCTCTAACCAGGAGCTTTTATGCAAACTAACATAAAACAACATAAATTAACAGTTGGCCAAAACGAATATTTCTACATATGTCATAAGGATTATATGAAAACAAAGATAAGAGTCGTTCACGTCGTTTTCAATTGGATAGACTTCGATAATCTTATGGCCCGTGACGACTCCAAGTTTTCTAAAGTGAGATATAAGAAAACTTCGCACCCAAACTCTTCATCGTTTAGAATTGGATAGACTTTCATGATAATCGTATTGCTCGTGACTCAGAAAGCGGCAAACTCTTTTCTACGTAAACTTGAACACGCCTCTAGAACGGAGAAACGAGACAACTGATTTGAGGAAAAACGTGTTGAAAATCCCACGTCAATTACCCAGAGTCCTTTTTGGTGGCCCAGGAACTCCGCTGTGAAACTTCAAAGTACAACACTCGTTGCATTCCCGTCCCAGCGAGCTCTTGAGTATAAAGTCCGAGTTTTCAATACACTCGTCTCAAGCAGCTCCATATCTTCTTCAAACATTCTCGTTCTTGCTACACAAATCATGGCTTCTAGCAAAGGATTTGCTGCTCTAGTCATTGCCGCCGCGCTTCTCCTGGCACTCGTGGAGCCAAGTGTGGCCCAGGGAATTTCCAGCAGGGCTACGTTCTACACACCTCCATACCAGCGTAAGATCTTTGCAGTTCTAAACTCTCATTCGTGAAAATCTTCAACTTCTTGTGTTGCTTCTCGTGCAGCGTCCTCTTGCTTTGGGTTTGATCCTCTCCCAGCAGATTTTCTGTTCGCAGCGGCGTCTCCGGCAGTCTTCAACAATCGCGCAGCTTGTGGGACCTTTTTCTGCGTGAGATGCACTGGAAATGGCTGCAGGAATGGCAACACCATCCGAGTGCAGATCGTGGATCTTTGCCCGGGCTGTCCAGGTGCTTTTGATCTCTCCCAAGAGGCATTTGCACGTATTGCAGACCCAGCTGTTGGAGTTATCAGTGTCAACTACAACGCATGCTAGATATCTCTGATATCATGATCAGTAATCATACACAATAATTTATCAAGAGGATTGATGAATCGTTCTCGATTCTAGCCTTCTTACCCATACACAATCGTGAGAGCTTTGAAATCTTTTCCAAGCTTTAATGGCGTGGTATGTAGTGATCTTACATGGCAAAGTCTGGGACGTGGAGTTCGAGGCTTCAAGGGAAGAAATACTGAAAGATGTCGCACTGAAAGAAGCCACCTTGTGCCATCAAAGGTTGGGAGTCTGTCAAAACATTCTCCACGTCAGCCGAAGTCCAAGACCTTGACACAAAAGATCGGGAGCTTCACTGCAAATATGAAGGTGGCAATGCTGGAAGTGATTCCGGAAGAGAAAGAAGTTGCCTCAGCTGAGTATCAATGTTTGCAAGGTGTTCCTCAAACGTGAAGTGGTAGGTAACTTCAATGTCAGTGCTGTTGCAATGAAAACTTTCCATCTTGTGCAATGAAAGATCTTCGTTCAACTCAACAGTTTACAGGAAGGACTTGTAGTTGAGGATGCGACGACTTGTGGAGAATCTTGTGCATTCAGATAGTGGCCATGAGCATTGTAGAGTGTGGCCTTTGAATGTCCATTAGAGATGTCCTTAACAGGCTGTGGCTCGCCCATTAACTTGATTCGACCATTGGCAATTGTCGGATTGAGTCACGTTCTCTGCGAGAACGTGGTTGACAACTGCCAGGTTCTCCAGAACCTAGTTGCCAGCTGCCAATTCTGGAGAACCCTCTCATCCTCCAATAATGTTATTCCACGTGTCCATTAATGGTCTCGCCACAGCCCGTTAAAGCCGTTCCCGGGCACGGCCTTGCTCGTTCCCTCCAGAAGGCGCTTGCCGGGCTAACGCCCGGCTCGCCTGTTCTGGGCGGGAACGTGCTCGCCCTACCCAGGAACTGCCTCATCTTTCCAAGCTTCCAAATGGTGATGCCATTCACCTTCTTATGCCATCCGCATTCAAGGATTATGGAATCCTTCAGAGGTGTGGAGCCAAGCTGTTGGTAGTCCACCACCACAAAATCTGCCTATGAAGGGAGGCCAAATACTGAAAACCGAACGCCACTGGCAAATGCCTGTGGGAACCATAGTGTGATTAGCAAATGTCTTCAGGATTAAAGTGTGCTTTGAGATGTGAATATGTGATGCTTGGGCAGCTTCCATGGAGATGATGTTGCTGCTTTAACCAGAGTCGACGGGAGCGTCAAGGATGGGCAATCCATGGCTGAAGTCCACTAGTGCAAAGAATGTGCCAGGATCTGGAAAAACAGTTTTGTCAATCAGATGTACGAACAGGAAATCTGCTGGAAGAGGAAAGCAAGACGACGCTGCATGAGGAGCAACACAAGAAGTTGATCAAGATTTGATTGCGGATGAAAGTTTCTATATAAAGATCTTATGTAGTTATGGAGGTGTGTCGAATGTAGCCCTGCTGGAAATTCCCTGGGCCACGCTTGGCTCCACGAGTGCCAGGAAAAGCGCGGCGACAATGACTAGAGCAGCAAATCCTTTGCTAGAAGTCATGAGCGAGACTGTTTGAAGAAGAACTGGGGCTGCTTGAGACGAGTAACTCGAGTGTGCGAGGACTTTATACTCGAGAGACGTGTATTCTACTTTGAAGTTTCACAGCGGGCCACCAAAAACAACTCTGAGTAATGGACATGGGATTTCTAACACGACTTATCTCGTATGTCCTCAAGATCAGTTATCTCGTTTCTCCATTCTAGAGTCGTGTTCAAGTTTACGTAGAAAAGGGTTTTACCGTTCTCTGAGACACGAGCCGTAAGATTATCAAGTAAGTCTGTTCAATTGAAAACGATGAAGTGCTGGGCTCGTCACGAGCCACAATATTATCCAATTGAACACGACATGAAATCTTTGTTTTGTATTAAGGCTTATTCATATCATACTAGTGTTTAGTTTTTCAACATTGAAATACGTACTTACTTCGGCTTCTCATCACGTCCCAAATGCTTAGCACCTATGATAAGTAAGAGAGATTATAACATCACCAACATAGATTTCTTTTATCATTCTTACTGGTAGTAGTCGATGTTGATGACACCGGCATCTGGGTTTGCAATTCTTGCAAATGCCTGCTGGGAGAGATCAAAGGCACCTGGGCAGCCCGGGCAAAGATCCAGGATCTTCACGCGGATAACATTGCTGTTCCTGCAGCCATTGCTCGTGCATTTCACGCAGTAGTAGCGTCCGCAAGCGGCTCCATTGCTGTAAATAGATGGAGCCGCTGCTGCAAAGCTATAATCTGATGGAAGAGAACCATAGCCATAGCAAGCTGATGCTGGTGGATCAGAGAAAAACATTTTTAGTTGTTATTGTGCATGATGAATTCGTGAAAGCTTATTATAAGTTCTTACGCTTGTATTGGTTGTAGAAAGTGGCTTTGCTTGCGATTCCTAGGCTTGGCTCCGCCAAGAGCAGCGTGGTGGCAATGAAGAAAGCAGCAAAGGCTTTGGTAGAAGCCATGGATGTATGGAACAGGATAATCACGAACGAGTGTTTGATGTTGAAAATAATCGTGCGATGGGGAAGATAATCGTCATGTGATTAGATGTGTAAAAGTTAAATTCTGCAATTCAAGAAAAGATCTTATTTCAAAGCCCTTGGCAAACCTATCTCAAGTTGAATACTTCATAATGAATTGAAAGTAGAACGAGTGTTCAAGAGACTGTTTGATGTTGAAGCTTATCGTGAACGAGTGGTTGATGATGAAGATAATCCTCATGTGATTATATTATAGTTGAGGAATGAAAGTTCAAAACGATATCAAATTCTGCGATGCCAGAATAATTCAAGACTAGAACATGATGCTGGATGCGTATAGAATCTTATTGCTGGAAGAGCTTATTTGAAAGCCATAAAATTCCGTGTAACCTGTAAATTCATTAACACCAAACTTCAATAATGCGAGCAGAACCATTAGATTAAAAATAAATAAGCTGTAATTAAAGGTAGTTATTAGAATTTTTTTATTGTCAGGATTCGAACTTGTACAAAGATTTATTTGTATCTTGGCTCACAAAGCTCCCACTTTCTTTCCACCACTCTTCTCGACCAAGGCCTTGTAGCTTCCAGTGTGAAACTTCCCTTCCTTGTCTGTGAAGCCAGAGAGCTCCGTCTGCCACAGCCTCTTCCCAGCTTCATTCACAAGGTGGCCATCCTGCCAGAATCCCCACAGCACCACTCCCTCCACCGCTGGATGAGCAAACGCTTCGTGCAGCACAGCCTCCAAGTCGTCCGCTCGGACGTGCTCATTGCTCGAAGACACGTTCAGCAAGCCACAAAGAATTACCCCCACGGGAATGTAGACATGACCTTGGACTCAGATACCACTGACTGGAGCACCTTATGTTGTGTATATACACTCTCTATGACGTGAGCTTAAATAGCAGTAATGCCACCTCACTGATCCAGGTGTAGGCTAGAGGTGTGTTTCTTGATCATGTCTATCTTTGTCCATTGTAACTTCTGCATATCTCTTCATGGTATCAGAGTTGTAAGGTTTTGAGAGGGAAATAGAGTCCTGTCATGGATATGAGAGAATGATTGGATGCAGAGGGGATTCATGTCATTGAGATTAAGAGAGTGTTAAGTATATATGCTTTCTATGACATGAGCGTGGTGCCATCTCATGTACGCTAGATCTTGATCATGTATATTTAGCTATGACAATATATTCAAGCTATCCTTGTCCATCATAGCTTCCACATATCTCTTCACCTTGTGCGATTGAACTCTCAATTTGCTGGACGTGTCTCTGAGCTGAGGAGCTCACCTCTCGACCATCTTCAACGTGGTAGTCATTGACAAAGAGCCTGACCGGTGGATCCAGAGCTTGAACATGTTGCGTGAACCTCGTCACCCAGCCTGCTCTTGTAGAAATCCCTGTCGTTGTTCACGTCACAGTGTTGGAACTGAAGGCAGGGCTCTCTCTACCACCTGATCACGTTCTAGAGGTTGCTCTAAGCCTGTCACCCTGGAAGCTTTTATGGACTCTTCCAGGATTCAGACAGACTTGAGAATTTTGCCCACTCAGCAGAGGCATCTCCTCTTCTCCTCATAGTGTTAGCAGCATCTCCGACAGTCTTCAACAATCTCAGAGCTTCTTCTGCTTGAGATGCACTGGAAACGGCTGCAGGGATGGGAACACCATCCGAGTGCAGATCGTGGGTGCTGTCCAGGCGCCTTTGATCTCTCCCAAGAGGCATTTGCACGAATTGCAAACCCAGATGTTGGAGTTATCAGCATCATCTACAACTGATGCTAAATGTCTCTGATATCCTTCTGATATCTCACTCGCACGTGTTTCCATGATCATACACAATAAACGATCTATCAAGAGGATTGGTAAATCAAAGGATCTCATTTTTGGCTGATCGATTCTAGCTTCCCTTCCCACTTATAATTGCGAGAGCTTTGAAATGACCACGAATACGGATGTGGTATGTAACACTGTCATAAACATTTGAGAGTATGCAATTTTCCCTTGTTTTAAACCAATGCTTCTAAAATAATGGTTTTGATTTTCACATATTTCTTATGAATTTTTAGAAAGCCTTTTAAATTTCTCAATGTAACTTGCACTTGCCCTTATCATATTGACATCGCTGTGGATTGTTGATCGACTTGCTTCCAGCTGTCTCCTTGTGCCGCATCTTAGGGCTTGACTCTTAATCCAGGCCCGGGCCTCCATGGCACTGAGTTGTCACCCTCAGCACAGAATGCTCTTCGGGTGATTCACAGCAGACATCCAGAATTTCCAAGACGATGGCAATTCCCTTGCCACACCACACACCCAGCCTGAGCATGCAGGGACTTCCCGTCTGTAGATGTTAGTCCACTAGTGATGAGCAAAGCCAAGGTCCATAACTTTCTATGATTGTGTGGGATTCAGATGAAGCCATCATCATCTTACCCATACGAAGAGCTTTACAAGCTCATTGAATTATGCCCCTTGAAGTTTTAATATCCTTATGAAGTTTAAGAACTTCAAGAGGAAAGGAAGATCTCCATGCTTTCACGCTCACCTATAGTGTTTGTGATTGTGATGGAATGTCTACTGCCATTGTTCACATAGATTGTTAGTCCCAAACAACTTGGGGAATGGCAATTCTTAATGCCTACCAGGTTTTCAACCATGCTTCTTGGATATAATAAGCCAGACGTTATTAGGCTTTTGCAAATATGACAAATTCCATTTATGCAATTTTCACTTAATGGAAAATGGGGCTTAAACTTTTACAAACTAACATAAACCAACATAAATTAACAGTTGGCCAAAACGAATACTTCTACAGATGTCATAAGGATTATATGAAAACAAAGATAAGAGTCTTTCACGTCGTTTTCAAATGGATAGACTTCGATAATCTTGCCCGTGACAACTCCAAGTTTTCTAGAGTGAGATATACGAAAACTTCGCACCCAAACTCTTCATCGTTTAGAATTGGATAGACTTTCATGATAATCGTATTGCTCGTGACTCAGAGAGCGGCAAACTCTTTTATACGTAAACTTGAACACGCCTCTAGAACGGAGAATCGAGACAACTGATTTGAGGAAAAACGTGTTGAAAATCCCACGTCAATTACGCAGAGTCCTTTTTGGTGGCCCAGGAACTCCGCTGTGAAACTTCAAAGTAGAACAATCGTTGCATTCCCGTCCCAGCGAGCTCTTGAGTATAAAGTCCGAGTTTTCAATACACTCGTCTCAAGCAGCTCCATATCTTCTTCAAACATTCTCGTTCTTGCTACACAAATCATGGCTTCTAGCAAAGGATTTGCTGCTCTAGTCATTGCCGCCGTGCTTCTCCTGGCACTCGTGGAGCCAAGTGTGGCCCAGGGAATTTCCAGCAGGGCTACGTTCTACACACCTCCATACCAGCGTAAGCTTTTTGCAGTTCTAAACTCTCATTCGTGAAAATCTTCAACTTCTTGTGTTGCTTCTCGTGCAGCGTCCTCTTGCTTTGGGTTTGATCCTCTCCCAGCAGATTTTCTGTTCGCAGCGGCGTCTCCGGCAGTCTTCAACAATCGCGCAGCTTGTGGGACCTTTTTCTGCGTGAGATGCACTGGAAATGGCTGCAGGAATGGCAACACTATCCGAGTGCAGATTGTGGATCTTTGCCCGGGCTGTCCAGGTGCTTTTGATCTCTCCCAAGAGGCATTTGCACGGATTGCAGACCCAGCTGTTGGAGTTATCAGTGTCAACTACAACGCATGCTAAATATCTCTGATATCATGATCAGCAATCATACACAATAATTTATCAAGAGGATTGATGAATCGTTCTCGATTCTAGCCTTCTTACCCATACACAATCGTGAGAGCTTTGAAATCTTTTCCAAGCTTTAATGGCGTGGTATGTAGTGATCTTGCATGGCAAAGTCTTTCTGGAAGAGAAAGAAGTTGCCTCAGCTGAGTGTCAATGTTTGCAAGGTGTTCCTCAAACGTGAAGTGGTTGATAACTTCAATGTCAGTGCTGTTGCAATGAAAAGTTTCCATCTTGGGCAATGAAAAATCTTCGTTCAACTCAACAGTTTATGGGAAGGACTTGTAGTTGAGGATGTGACGACTTGTGAAGAATCTTGTGCATTCAGATAGTGGCCATGGGCATTATAGAGTGTGGCCTTTGAATGTCCATTGGAGATGTCCATCTTTCCAAGCTTCCAAATGGTGATGCCATTCACCTGCTTATGCCATCCGCATTCAAGGATTATGGAATCCTTCAAAGGTGTGGAGCCAAGCTGTTGGTAGTCCACCACCACAAAATCTGCCTATGAAAGGATGCCAAATACTGAAAACAGAACGCCACTAGCAAATACCTGTGGGAACCATAGTGTGATCGGTAAATGTCTTCAGGATTAATGTGTGCTCTAAGATGTGAATATGTGATGCTTGGACAACTTCCATGGAGAGCTTTAACCAGAGTCGACGGGAGCGTCAAGGATGGGCAATCCATGGCTGAAGTCCACTAGTGCAAAGAATGTGCCAGGATCTGGAAAAACAGTTTTGTCAATCAGACGTGCGAACAGGAAATCTGCTGGAAGAGGAAAAGCAAGACGACGCTGCATGAGGAGCAAGACAGGAAGTTGATCAAGATTTGATTACGGATGAGATGTTCTATACAAAGATATTATGCAGTTATGGAGGTGTGTCGAATGTAGCCCTGCTGGAAATTCCCTGGGCCACGCTTGGCTCCACGATTGCCAGGAAAAGCGCGGCGACAATGACTAGAGCAGCAAATCCTTTGCTAGAAGTCATGAGCGAGACTGTTTGAAGAAGAACTGGGGCTGCTTGAGACGAGTAACTCGAGTGTGCGAGGACTTTATACTCGAGAGACATGTATTCTACTTTGAAGTTTCACAGCGGGCCACCAAAAACAACTCTGAGTAATGGACGTGAGATTTCCAACACGACTTATCCTCAAGATCAGTTATCTCGTTTCTCCATTCTAGAGTCGTGTTCAAGTTTACGTAGAAAAGGGTTTTACCGTTCTCTGAGACACGAGCCGTAAGATTATCAAGTAAGTCAATTGAAAACGATGGCCACAATATTATCAAGTCTATCCAATTGAACACGACATGAAATCTTTGTTTTGCATTAAGGCTTATTCATATCATACGAGTGGTTAGTTTTTCAACATTGAAATACGTACTTACTTCGGCTTAAACCTTTCATCACGTCCCAAATGCTTAGCACCTATAATAGTTAAGAGATTATAGCATCACCAACAAAAGATTCCTTATCATTCTTACTGGTAGTAGTCGATGTTGATGACACCGGCACCTGGGTTTGCAATTCTTGCAAATGCCTGCTGGGAGAGATCAAAGGCACCTGGGCAGCCCGGGCAAAGATCCACGATCTTCACGCGGATAACATTGCTGTTCCTGCAGCCATTGCTCGTGCATTTCACGCAGTAGTAGCGTCCGCAAGCGGCTCCATTGCTGTAAATAGATGGAGCCGCTGCTGCAAAGCTATAATCTGATGGAAGAGAACCATAGCCATAGCAAGCTGATGCTGGTGGATCAGAGAAAAACATTTTTAGGTGTTACTGTGCATGATGAATTCGTGAAAGCTTAAGTTCTTACGCTTGTATTGGTTGTAGAAAGTGGCTTTGCTTGCGATTCCTAGGCTTGGCTCCGCAAATGCCAAGAGCAGCGTGGTGGCAATGAAGAAAGCAGCAAAGGCTTTGGTAGAAGCCATGGATGTATGGAACAGGATAATCACGAACGAGTGTTTGATGTTGAAAATAATTGTGAACGGGTGTTTGATGGGGAAGATAATCGTCATGTGATTATATATAGTCGAGGAATGAAAGTTCAAAACGATATCAAATTCTGCAATTCGTGGTGTGTGTGTGGTGTTCTATTTGGTAGCTATAATGCCATTAGATTAAAACAAATCAGCGGTAATTAATAGTTTTAAGCATAGTTATTACACTTCATATTGAATTGAAAGTACACTGTATTCCAGGAGAGACCTTCTAGCCATGGATGTATGGAACGAGTGTTTAAGAGAGTGTTTGGTGAAGATTATCGTGACGTCACGTGATTTTATTATAGTTGAGGAATGAAAGTTCAAAACGATATCAAACTCTGCGAAGCCAGAATAATTCATGAACATGATGCTGCTTGCGTATAGAATCTTATTGCTGGAAGAGCTTTGAAATAAGCGGTTTCCACGTAGATTGGCAAACCTGTAAATTCATCAATTTTAAAATCAGCACAAAATCAAAATTTAACAAATGCTTACCTGATAGACAGCAAAGCAGAAGGTGTTTAAGCATAGTTATTAGAGTTTTTGTATAAACTTTTATTTTTTATTGAATTTATCGAACTGCTCACAACTTTGCACTCCAAGGATTTGCGATCACAGGCGTAACTCTATGGTGTTTGTATCTTGGCTCACATCGAAGCTCACTTCCACTTTCTTTCCACCGCTCTTCTCGACCAAGGCCTTGTAGCTTCCAAAGTACCCGCGAAACGCAAACTTCCCTTCCTTGTCCGTGGAGCCAGAGAGCTCCGTCCGCCACTCTCCTCTCAGAGCTTCCAGCCTCTTCCCAGCCTCGTTCAGCGTCCCATCCACCTCCACAAGGTGGCCATCTGATCTACAGCACCCCTGCCAGAATCCCCACAGCACCACTCCCTCCACCGCCGGATGAGCAAACGCTTCGCGCAGCACAGCCTCCAAGTCGTCCGCTCGGACGTGCTCGTTGCTCGAACACACGTCCACCTCCGTGAGCCAGATTGGAAGTCCCAGCATCGCGAGCTCGTCCAGCGAGCCGCGAAGAATCGGCCCCACGGGAACGTCGACATGGCCTTGGACGCCGATACCACCGACTGGAGCACCTTGCGCGATCAAACTGTCGATTTGCTGGACGTATCTCCGAGCCGAGGAGTTCGCCTCTCGACCATCTTCGACGTGGTAGTCATTGACGAAGAGCCTGGCCAAGGGATCCAGACGATGGATTTGCTTGAACATGTTGGCGTGGACCTCGTCACCCAGCCTGCTCTTGTAGAAATCCCCGTGTAGCATCTCGTTGTTCACGTCGTAGTGCTGGAACTTGCCCCGGTATCGCGACACCAGCTTTTCTATGCGGCTCTCCACTGCTGCTTGGAGCTTCTCCTTGCTAAGTTTCTTCAACCAGCCTTGGACGCAGTGCTCCACCTCCCAGAACACGCAGTGGCCTCGGACAGGGAGCTTGTGATCGGCACAGAACTTGCAGAGCTCGTCCGCTTCTCTGAAGTTGAGCTTTCCCTGCTCGGGCTCTGTCCATCCCCACTTCATCTCGTTCTCAAACACCGTGTAGTTGAAAGTCTTGAGGAAGTAGTCCACGTACTTGGTGTTTTCCAGATTGATGCGGTTGATGCAAGCTCCCAGCGCGAAGCTCGAGGATATTTGCTTGACTTGTAGGCGTAGAGGAGTGCCAGACTTATCGCTTTTGATTCGAAGCACCACGTCGCGTTTCCTAACCTGTATCGAGAACAAAGAAATAAGATCTGAAAGCTTCCAGTTGAGTTTTCTAGTACCTGGTCAGCTTGCTTCTTCAGAGCGGCGTATTGATCGCTGCGATTCACTGAAAAAATCCGGAGGTTTGCCACCATGATATCAACACCTGCGTCAGGACCCTGAACGTAAACCATGACTTCCGAAGGCTTCTTCTCAAGCCGGAAAGAACCCGCTACTTCTGTCCAGGAGCTCGGGCTTGCATCTACTTCGCCACCGCTCATCCATTGCCCGTCCACGGAGAGAGCCACGTTTACTCTCGCAAGAGACTGGCTGCTTCCACCGATGCGCACCCAGGCACAGACTTGGTAAGGAAGGAAGAGCTGGATTCTCTCCGTGAGTTTTTGAGCAGGACCTTCCCATCCGAACTTCCTGTTTGTTGCAACGATGTAGTTTCCGCTAAACTCTGGGTGGAACTCCAGAGACAGCTTTGCGGACGGTGGAAGAATTTTCGGTGCACCAGTTGCAACACGAAGGGAGCATGATCCCATTGAAAACCAGCTCGACAGTCCCTTGTGGAGATCCGAGTTCTCTACAATATTGATGCCGAACATGGGATTCTGTAACAAGTTTTCACCAGTAAGAAACAGTTAAGTATTCTGATCACCTGGAAAGACGGCGGAGGGCTTGGCTCGGGTTTCTTTGCTGGACACACAGAGAATGAATCAACCAGAATATCAACACCAGGTGCCGGACCCTCAAGGAAAATCACAGCTCGTTTCGGCATGCTATGGATGGTAAAGCAGCCTTGCAAACTCGACCAGCTTTCGGCTGAAGCAGTTGTCCTAGGAAAGGACAACATAAGCACACCGAAACCCAACCAAGTTGCAAACATACCTTCCAATGGTCATGTATTGCTCTTGCATGTTGGACTTTTGAATGTACAGAGTCGCTAGAACTTCCGCTCGTGAAAGGCCTCCACGGATGCGAACAGTAGCCCTCACATCATACATGATGTTCGCAGACAAGCGTCCCGTTACGTCTTGCTCGATTCCGTGCCATGTCTGTGTTCGATTCGATGCTATTGCAAAGTGATCTCCTGTGCAGGGGGAGACATGAGGATCATCCAGTGTAAGTGTACACGATCTTGCAGACCACCCTTGCAAACCCCGAGAAAAGCAAGCATTCTTTATGACCGAATCACTGGGGGAAGTGTCGGGCACGTCCTGCATAAAAAACAATGTTTGAGCTCAAGAAATCTAAAAAGTAGCGCACCGAGTAATCCTGTTTCCCAGGCACTATGCCAGAACTTTGTGTGGTGATGCTCACGCTGTCGACTAAAATATCAATTCCAGCAGGCGGTCCTTCCAAGTACACCAAGACTTTGTCAAAACTTTCGTTTAGAAGCAGCGGTCCTTGTATTCTTGTCCAAGTGCCTCTTGAAGCTCTTGCTCTGCAATGGAAACTCAAACTTTGTCAGGGAAAAGATCAGAGCAATTACCTCCCAAGCTGCATATATTTCGTATCAGAATCCTTCTTTTCCAGTTTCGCGGTAGCAAGAACATCCGCTTCGGAAACTCCAGCCACACTGACGAACGCAAGAACTTCATACTTGATGCCTGGCTTAACCCGTTCACTGATATCCTGCTCAATCCCTTGCCACCCTTGCGTCCTCCCCGACACAACAGCCACAAACTCACCGCCGCGAGGCTGGATCCCTTGTAGCGCGTTCGGATCACAGAGCGAAACTTTGCATCCATACGAGGCCCTCCAGCCCTCTAATCCACTGTCGAAGTTTCCATTGATGATAATGTCCTCGTCCCTCATAGCTCCCGCAGCTCCTGCAGCTCCAGCACCTACAAAAGACAATTTTTTCAAGAACAGTCACGATGGTCTTGGATCTTACCTTCTGGCTGCCGCTTCAGCTTGGAAGCTAGAAAACTCCTCATGCCACCACAGCAATGGCGGATCTTGATTCGTCGCCGAGCACCAATTGGAGCCTGCAAAACCATGACCATCGACTCATCAGAGAAACTCACAAGAGGATGCAGCCAAAACTTCAGATGCAAACCAAGCATCGGAATCGAGAGACTTACCCGGCCAGCAACTCGCAAGAAGCCCTATGATGACGACACTGTGCTGCTTTGCTCTTGTTCTCGCATAGTGTAGTAAATGTTGGCTAGCGACACGTACGCTCCAGCCTCTCTCCTGTCAAACTCGAGAACTCGCTCGGCCGCTACCGCAGCCCTCTCCAGATCCCCATGAATCGCGCAGCAACTTAGCAGGATCCCCCACGCAGTAGCGTCCGCGGAGAACGGCATGCCCTCCACGAGATCCTGCGCGTTTCTCAGCTGTCCTGCCCGTCCCAGGATGTTGACAATGCAGCAGTAGTGGAAGAGCGAGTGATCCACGCCGTGATCATGGAGCATCCCTCTGAAGCAGCCGAGTCCTACGCTCAGCGTCCCGACGTGAGTGGACGCCACCAAGACGTTCCTCAGCGTTGGCTCGTCCGTGTCCACTCCCTGGAGAAGCATCCGCTGGAAGAACTGGAGAGCTCGTCTTGGATAGCTCCTGCTGCTGCTACCACTGGCGATGATCCGAGAGTGGGCATTTGCGGCAATGATCGAAGTCCATGACACCGCGCTTGGCTGTGGGAGACGCTCAAACAATGCCTCGGCTTGAGCCATATACCCGTTGTGGGCATACCCGGACAGCATCGTGTTCCAAGCGACCGTGTCTCTCACCGGCATTTGCTCGAACTGGGCTCTCGATTCCGCCACGAAGCCGCTGGCTGCGTAAGCGTAGATCATCGCAGTGCTCGCCACAACGTCCACCGAAGGCATTCGATCGAACATCGCCTTGGCTTCTTCCAGTCGCCGGCTCTCGGCAAGGAGCTGGAGCATCGACGTCCATATAACCACGCTTCCCTCTGGGATCTCGTCGAAGAACACCTTGGCTTCCTGGATTCGTTCCCGGCTGTGAGCGTAGGCCTGGAACAGCGCGGCCCACGAGAGAGAGTTGTGCTTGGGCATCTCGTCCAAGAACTTCTTGGCCTCTTCCACATCCCCGAGCTGGGCATACGCGGAGATCATCGAGTTCCACGAAGAACAGTCGCGCTCGATCATGGCGTCGAAGATCTTCTTCGCGCCAGCCACGTCTTCGACCTCTGCGTGAGCGGCTATCAGGGCGTTGCACGACACGATGCTGAATTCCGGCATGGATTGGATGATCTCCCGGAATTTCTCGTGATCCCCTATCTGGGCATATGCTAGAACCATCGTTGTCCACGAAACGATGTCCCTCTGGCTCATACTGTCGAAGATCTTTCTTGCTTCATCGATCCGCAAATGCGAGCTATAGCTCGAGATCATGATGTTCCACGACTTGACGTTCCACTCGGGCATCCTTTGGAACAACTGCTTCGTTCCACCCATATCCCCATTCTCGGCATTTGCTGTGAGCACGGCATTCCAGCAAGCCAAATCCCTCTGAGGCATCGTCTCGAAGAGATCACGCACAGAATCCATCTCGCCACTGTCGGCATAGGCGCTTATCATCGTAGTCCACGACACAATGTCCCTGAGATCAGCCATTCTCTCAAAAATCGCCCGGGCATCCTGGATCCTCCCGGCAAGCACATAGCTCTGGAGCATCACGTTCCAGGAGAAGACGTTGGGCTCCGGGATGGCCTCAAACACCCTCCGCGCATCATCCACGCTCCCACACTGCCCATACATTTGCACCACGACATTGGCCAGGAATCGGCTCCTGGCAAAGGCGCCGCTCGCGATCTTGGCATGGATTTCCCTCACCTCCTCAGCAGTGTCGCAAGATCGCACCAGTCTTGCGAGATCTTCCTTGAGGACCTGCTGCTGCTGCTGCCGGCGATCCAACCCGGCGACGCTGCAGCGCGATCTAAGCATCTATGTCCCGAAATATCCAGTGCTAGCTCGAAATTTCCCAGCGAAGATCTTTCACCGCGGCCATGCGATGCTGCTGCCGGCGATCCAATGCCGCGATGCTGTGGCGCAATCTAAGCATCTGTGCCCCCTGCCGATCGACATATCCAGTGCTAGCTCGAAATTTCCCAGCTTAGATCTGTCATCGCGGCCGCAAGCATCTAGAGCTCTTCCGACGATCGATCCTACCCCCTGGAACTTCTAGAATCGCGAAGATTTCCAGCGAAGATCTTTCATGCGATGCTGCTGCCGGCGATCCAATGCCGCGACGCTGCCCCTGCCGATCGAAATATCCGGTGCTAGCTAGAAGTTTCCCCTTTCATCGCGGCCGAAAGATCTTTCCATCCCAATGCAAGCATCTCGAACGATCGATGGCGGAGCTCTAGGAAGAAGCGCTCTCTAGAGAGAGCCCTGGAACTTTTTTACTTCTATCTACCTGGGTCTACCTAGGGTTCAAGAAGAATGAAGAACAAGGTGGAGGAGAGGAGGAGCCCTTGTTTGTGAGGAAATGGCGCCCAACATCGAAGGGCCAATCCTGGGCTTGTGCGCGGTGGTGGCAGCTGCGGCGGCATCCGCGACGCTGGTGGCGGCGGTGGTGGCCGCTGCCGCTGCGCTCATGGCGGTGGGCTACATTGCCTTCGTGGAGCTGGACAAATTCTTGCGCGGCGGCGCTGCCCCGTCCTCGGCCAATCGCCGCAGTTGAGTGATCGATCGCGCCGGATCGATCGAGGTAACACAGTAGGTTCTCGTAGTAGTGGACAAAAGGGAAAGAGAGAAAGGGAAATTTCCTAGGGAGGAGGTGGCGAGCGAGCGAGCGATCGATCGATCGATCGATCGATCAATGACTGCTAATTCATCGCGATGGAGCCGTCCTCTTGTTGCGGATTTCTTCCCGTCCCGCCGGAGGTGGTGATTGGACGATTCAATCCTTTCAGCGAAGCGCAGCAAGTCCAGCTACGTGCGCAGATAATTGTCTATGGCTCCATCGTGTAAGTTTCTTTCATCTTTTCTTCCCTCTTTCTTAAATTCTCTCTCGTCTCTCCTCAGCCGGGAGCTCGCTCCCGAGGAAACTTTGATGAGCTTGTGCTTCGCGGACATATCCACGGGTGAGTTTACTCTTCTCGTTCTCGATAGAGCTTTTAAGTTTCTTAAGCTGTAGTTATGACACAGGAAGTAGTGTGGAGGATTTTCACGAAGGGAATCTGGGCAGGAGTGCATGGGAGAAAATCTGGCAAGCTGCTTCGTTCAATAGTGCTCGAGCAAAGAAACCGAGCAAGAGCAAGGCGGCATCGGCAGCACCATCTCCGGCTCCTCCAGCGAAGACGAAAGCCGCGAAGCCTGCTATCAAACGCAAGGCCTCCAAAGCTGCGACGGCCAACCAAAGCAGGAAGAAAAGTGTGAAGCAGAAGAACATATCGGATCTGGATTCGGATGTCGTCGTCGTGCAGCAAGTCATCACGGATGCTACTGAAACTCAGAGCAATAGTGAGGAGGAGGAGGAGAAGCAAGGTGGAGAAGAAGCGGACACAGAGCTCGAGCAGCTAGCAGCTTCCGCCATCAAAGCGATGAGCGATCTTCCTCCGACTGCTGGCAAGAAGAAGGGGAGGCAAGAAGAAGAAGGCGAAGAGGAAGGAGAAGGCGAAGAAGAAGAAGAAGAAGAAGAAGCTCATTGCAAAGCTTCCGAGGACAACACGTCCAGAGATCCAGGGGACTTGACGGACGAAAAGGCTGAGTCAATGGAGATTGATGATGCTGAAACCAGCAAAATCTCGAACACAGAGGAAGGGCTAAGGCGGCATTGGAAAGAGATTGTGCAAGGAGCTATGGTTGAGGTTCGTATGCTTGTTTGCGGTTTCTCGATCGAGGGAAGGGAATTCTAATCAACTTAATCAATCCATTCAGGTTATTTCGGACGAAGACGGACTTCACGGAGTTTGGTTCTCGGGGAAGGTTCGGACAGTTCGGAAAGACAAAGTGCAGGTTGTCTACACCGATCTTCTCCATGAAGATGGTAAGAAAAAAAAAATTCTCTTTGTTCTTTTCCTGAATTATTTCTCAAATTTCCAGGACAAACTATGCTGCAAGAATGGGTGTCCTCTTGCGATTTGATGAACGACGCCCCCAAAATCCGGCTGGCTCATCCCGTGACGTCGGCTGATCTCCCGCTGAAAAGGAACAACTTTTCAGTTGGAGATCATGTTGATGCTTGGATGAATGACGGGTGGGTTTGTAAAGTTTCTCTTCCATGGGTCTCTCTTACACTGTGTTGTCCGAAACTTCAGGTGGTGGGAAGGAATAGTAGAGGGTATTAACAGCGAGAACCAAAAGCAAGTGACGCTGTTTTTCCCAGGTACCATCGTATTATCTGTGTGGTCGTGCTTATCAGGGAGACGCTGTGCTTTCAACAGGAGAGGGAGACATTGGTGTGGCTAAGATCAGCCACTTACGCCCGTCCCTTGTCTGGAAAAACGGGGAATGGATTCTTTGGGCTCCAAAAGAAGGCGGAAAGAAGGTACCATGGCTTGCTTTGGTTTTCATCTCTTGTTCACGTATTTCTCTCTGGCCAGGTCAGGAAGCAACCGGTCTCAAAGCCAACTCAGGTGATTCCCGAGAAGAAGTTTGTTGAAGTTACGCCGGTGGTATTGGATGGGAAGCGCAAACGCGAGCGGCCAAAGAGGCTGGCGGATGGATTGGACGACGAGCAGCCCCCGAGGAAGCCTTACACGAGAAGAGCTCCTCCAGCGAGCAGGGGGAGCGAAGCCAACCCCACCAAGAGAGTACTGCCCCCTCGAAACAAAGCCAGCTCTTCGAGAGCCAAGAGGAAGTAGATGATAAGTCACACTTTTGAGTTGTAAAGAACGCAAAGAAGAACTCGATTTTGAGTGATCATATAAATGTAAACACTTGGTTGACACAATCTTTCTCTAGAGCTTCTTTTGTTCTTCCTTTTAGTTTCTTTACTCGAGTAACCATTCCAATCACAATGCCAAACCATCTTCTTGCTTCTTCCGCAGTGGAGAAGGCCAGGTTGAATCGCGAGGGCAGCACAAAATCCAGCTAAAGAGACAGTAAGAAACGCACAGGCTTGCTTTGCTTCGAGCGCCTCAATGTAAAACTCGATTTTTGGAGCGTCCAAGGCATTGGTTGAGCTTCAATCATAGGTTGGAAATTGATTAGCAGTCCATGACGAGACTCTTTCGTGTTTGTTACCTCCCATGGTTTGCCAAGAGAATTCAAGACGTTTACGAGTGTGGCGTCCGACAAGGGTGCTTCTCCCGCAAATCTCTCGAGCCTCTGTGTAGATAGACAAGATCTTACACACCAAGACTTGACAAGAACAATGTACTACACCGTCGAGCCGTATGTGAAGCCAAGGCAAGCGTAGACAGAATCGAAAAGCTCCAAGCACTTCAAGAGCCCCTCGGCCACCTTGGTTTGAGATTTAAGCAGCGAGATTGCAAGAACAGAATGGAGAGACTTAAGGCAATACCTTCTGCTACAGAAGATGTGAGCACCAGCCTGTGTTGTCCGGGATAAACAAGTGAGATCGTCAATGATACTGGCCTTCTGAAGAACACCAATCAGTTGCAGTGGAAGCTCTGCAAAGAACAATTATGCTCAAGACGACAAAGATCTGAGCAAACCTTGATAGGATCTAATGCGATAGTGGGGCAGTGAGCTGTGCAATTTGCTGGTTTCACGGCAAACTCCATGTTTTCTTCATGGAAAAACTTTGCTAGCATGAGCAAACAAAACTACACTTTCACCTTCATGGTTAGAATGTCCCCTTTGATCGGAGCACTTGATCTCAAATTGTAAGAGTTATATAGTGAAATGGTGTTTAGAATTGCTCAAACAATTATTAACTATCTCATCTTTTTGTGTCAGCTCATTTGAGGTTGCTTTTTTAAGAAACTGATAAGTATTGAAAACAACAAAACTATAGATAAATACTTAAGAAAAAAAATATGGATTTATGTTTACTTTAAAACCATACTTATAAAGGCTTAAAATTTTTTAATCCAATCCCAAGCTAATCTAGAAATCTAATTAAGACATGGTCCTAAATACTCATCCATGTTTTGAGTTTAAATTCCATCAGTAAAGGTTTAAGGTTTGATTTTTATAGTGGCAATTAGTAGTGAATATACTCCTCAGTAAATACAAAAATATGGCAAGTACATATTATGTGAAACATACATATAAAAAACTTTAGTTTATGGTATATAAGTTTTTTAAAATAGAAACTACTACTCCCAAAATCATATGGTAGAAAAAAATTCAAGAAAAGTTTATTTTAATGGCTTTTGTTCACAAATATAACTCTTTTGGATGTTGAGACTTTTGGCTTTATTAAACTAATAAAAAGTTAACTTAATTTATAATTAATAATATGTTATTAAAACTTATATTTAGTTTTTATTTAATTATTTATTATTAATATTGATAGAGAATTATTTTATTTTAAATTTTCAATTTAACTTTTTTAATTATAAGCATAAAGCTGAAATTTATAAATATATTAAATTTTATAATTTAGTTACTATTTTTTTATACTTTTTTATTTTTAATGATTTAATTTGGAAAAATTAATATCTTACAACCAAAAGCTATTATTATTGTAGCTATATATAATTTAATTAAAAAAGTTCACTAAAGATATTTTTTATTTGCAACTTATGCAAATTCAATATAAGCACTTCCTTCATAAAAAAAATATCAAAGTACTTATTAAATGAAAAATTACATGTTCAACTATAAAAGATATTAAAGGAATGAATATTATATATGGTTTAGAAAATAATCTTGAAATATCTTAGTTATTTTAAATAAAAAAATTCTAAATTTTTTAATAAATTATTCAGATTCTACCTCTACATATTATATAAAGTTATATCTTCAATGATTTATACAATTATTAATTTTTAAAAGTGATTTATACCATGACTTATCTCTTTTGAAATTTAAAAGTTTCTTAATTTATATTTATATGTAATTATATTTTATAAAAATTTAAAATTTTAGAGACATATGACTAATAACTAACTAAATATAGAAAAAAAGTTGCTATATAAATGTATTTTTTCTCATTAGTGAAAATGTTCCAGATTAATCTAGAAGCCTTAGATTTCTTTAAGCATTGCAAAAATCAATATTTACTATGTGGTGGTAAGGGATAAAATATGAATAAATGACATAGATGGTGTTAAAACTATTCAATAGTTATGTGGAACTTTGGCTTTGAGTCAAGAGATTTTGCAAAGGCTATTATGTCTATATCTGAATATTTTATTTGTGATACTGATAATAATAAACAATCAAAATTTCTAAACTAACATATATCCATAATTAATTATTTATTTGCATAATCATATAAATTATAATCTGTTAATTATAATAGCTGGCTGCAACCAACTATTTTATAACTCAAAATGGCCCTTAATCTCTTTTTTACGTTCAGCCCCAAGAAGTCCACAATTCACCATAATGCCCATGTGATTCCCTCTTATAATCTTACACTATATTTTACATTGGTTTATAAACAGCTTATACCTCATTTCAAGGATCACATATATATGTAGGTTTTTTTTGCATGTCAAACCTTCTTGTACTTTTCTAATGTCACTTATGAGAAAGAAAAAGCCTTATAGAGATGTATAGCAACTTCCAGGATCTTTTGGGGTAAGGAGTTTGTAGAAAAACCATGGCATAAGCTCTACTAATTAAAGTTAATGTCTTTAGAATGAAAATCACCAATCTTGAGCACATACCAAAAGCCAAGGATCTTTTAAGCAAATATTATGACCAGACCTCCCAGGATTTTAGATTGCAATTATTGTAAATTAAAAACAATTTAATTTTTATATAAACAAACTGCTTATGTGTGGTAATTAATAAATCATTTTACATTATGGTGAACTAAGGTAATATTCTTTGCTGAAACCTTTGGTGGAGCTTTTGAATTACCATCTACTTTGTAGAATATTATAATAAAACTACATGAATCAATCAAGCTATGCTAAATTCCAGCACATGGGAGCTTCTAGGCTGTGGGTTCTTGTGTGCAGAAGTCTTTTATATCCCATGGGCTATTGAGGCACCTCTTCTCATGAGTATGCCAAGGACAGCACAATTGAAAGCTCATTTCGCAGCCATGGCTCCCAAAAATGGTATCTCGGTTCTTGTTATGAAGGAAAGCTTCTACTCATATGGCAAACGCGCTCAACTTAATTCTTAGACTCGCGATAGGATGCAAGGAGCGCAAAGCAGTTGCCCATGAGAGTAATGTCCAGTAAAAAGTATACAGTCAATGATGCCGAGAATCTCGAGCGCCTCTTTCACAAGTATGCTGACGAGTTTATTGTAGGGCCTCTACTTGGCTGTGCGATTATGTGCTCGTATGCGCAAGCTGGATGGTTATAAACCTTAGTGGCGGCGCCGCCATCCTCCGAGGTCGTTGAAGCTTCAAATCTGGTGTTGAAGCCATTCCCGATCCAAGCAAAACACTAGATAAAGATTCGATTTGGTATTTTGTGTGGCTCCAAACAAGGTCCGCTAGACATTACTGTGGAAACGTGGTAGAGTTTTCCATGTTCTTTCTCACTGAGTTCCCCAACATGATCAAAATCCCTGGATTCTCTCTAAGATGTTGCTTGATCCCAGGAAAATCCTTGAAAGATAGAAAGATCCAAAAAGACTGGATGCCCTTGAATTTAGTACAAAGAAACACTGCCACTGGCATAGCACGCTGATGCGCTCCACGAGATTTTCTCTTCCATCGATCGAGTACTCCTCTTGGAAGCTTTTCTCTATCCTTTATTCGTTTTGCAGGAGCTAGCAATCGAATGAATGGCTCTTCTGTGATGCATCCTCGTCGATTTTGGCGCTGGGCGTTTGGTCCATCCAGTGACTTGCCTCACGAGCTTGACACTGGGGCTCCTTGCTCCTCTTCTTGTCGACATCACTGATGTAAACGTTTTCTACAAAATATAAAGCGAGAAACTGTTTAAGAAGCTTATATATATTTTCCTGTCCGCGCAAGCTCATGCCGGAGAGATTGAGTCCTCTAACCGAGGAACTGGAGCTGTCGCACGCTACTCCAATCCAGACGCATGGATTGCTACTTTGCTGCTTCCAGTCGTTTAAAACTGCTCTCCAGATTGGATCGAAACTGCAAAAGAACCGCAACCTCGTCCTCAGACTAGCAGTGACACCAAGGAAAAGAGAAGCAGCGAAAACCATATTGTAGTATTCATTTTTGAGAAATTGAGACGCATTTTCCATGAGACTCACATGGAAACATAAGAACACCTGTGCCCGCTAGAAGGTGCCGTAGATTCTACGTTACCTTGGAGCTGTTAGTCAATGGGATTTGTTTTGACTAATATGGACTGCTGTTGACTTTTCGAGCTTTTGTGAGCTCAAAAGCTCTACAATGACGGCTCTAGATTTCTTTTCAGAATTTCTTGGTTCTATCAGCAATTTGTTGAAACATCCTTATTCTGCTAGAGCTTTAAACGCTTGGATCTTAAGAAGCAATAAAAAACATGCGAGAAAGTGTTTGATTTCTTCTTCCTTTGGAAAGGAACTGTTATTTATTTTTGATTTGATGATCATGAACTACTTACTATTGCAAGAATTTGTCCTCCTGGAAAGCTGAGTAAGGTGGCACGTCAAGAGCTGCCTTGGCGATACGTCCATCTTCGTGGATCTTGTTAATCAGATCCTCTAGCGACGAGAAATTGGCCTGGACAGAGACAACCATTGTTTCTGAAACGAAATGGATAAGGATTGTTTACCTCGGGCCGAATGTAGCCGACAACAACGAGCCGGAGCTCCTCTCCGTAAAAATCTTCTGGGAATTCGTGCAATAACCAGGGTTCCTGTAGTAGCAGCACCTGAGCTTCCTTCCTAACA